AGATCTAGTTTGGCCTGCTCTACTTTTTGCCGAATCTTCTCCACCTCAATCTGCTTTTTGAGTTGCAACTCATGCTTACATTTGTCATGCTCAAGCTGAATCAACAACAGTTCCTTCTGTTGGTCAAACGTTAAGCCCTGAGTCTGGATAAGTGCACCAGCGAAAACTGGAGAATCATCTTTCACGTCTACAGGCAACACACCCTTTTCTCTCAACTCAGCCTTCAAAACTACCCTAATGTTCTCTTTAAGGCGTTTGTCACCTACCACTATAGAGAAGTGCTCTGCAATCTTCAGTAGCTGCTCCCTAGTACAACGCTCCAACGCCTCTTCAGACGGAGCTGCAATAAACGCATCACAATCTGCCATTACAACAAATTACACTTGGCTCATCAACACCACAGCAACAGACCCAGTAAATCAGTGCAGCTTCCTCATGCGTACTAAGAGAACTAAATCTCACGTAGTATGGAGTTTTCCCACTATCCTAATCAACCCAACTAACTAACTTATCCCTAGTCTTCATGCAGTTACTTGTGGTGGGTATTTATGCACTAATGACCGCTGGCCTGGAAGAGCAACTAGCACACTAGCGACCCTCCCAAAACCACGGACATGCTCCCAAGCTAAAAGCTTCACCCACGTTCACCACAACACTACCAAGGATCCGCTCAACAAGCCCAAAAGTGGACCGTCGCTACAGCCTACAAGAGAAAACTCCAACCACTTTGATCAGCAATACGCATACGAGGAACCACAACAGTCACCTGGATTATCTGTTAACTGCAGAACAACAATAACTAATTTGTAAAAAAAACAAGTTACCTACAAATTTATTTCAAATGCCAATAAACAAGCCTTCACTTACCCTGCTCAACCAACCAACCTACTGTATATTGCCACGCCAAATGAACAAACAAAGAAACAAACAATTACCAAAGTAAAACAAATGTCTTACCATTCCAACGAGCTGCCCCGCTCCCAACAAACTGGACTGCAATACATAGGCTAGGCTACAACAATACTATGGCTGCACTAATCCCATATCTTATCAAATTGCCCAAATACTAAGACCGGCACGAGCCCCCATTTTGTCACAACCTGGCTCAAGGGTCATGACAAAAGAGGGAACGAGACAGCATAAATGGTCAAAAGTGATTTATTTAACAAAAGAGTAACTAAACATAACTACTTAAATGTGGAAAGTATAACTCTGTAACATAAATAAACTCAAAACAAGATGTGGCAGTCGAGATGATCAGGCCAGGGTTGACGTCTAGATTGCAGAGAGAAGAGAGTGTAGTTTGACCAAGTGGAGCTTTATCTCCCCTGGCTCATAGGTTCCAGGTGCACCCAATCAGCAATCACCTCAATAGAACAAAAATAATTAACAACCACACAGGTATCACTCCCACAGAGAGACCTCACTGGATCACACAGGGCCCGTCACACTGACACAGACTAGATATAATAAACTAATGTAGGCCACTTTTTACTGGTAACATAAGACATTTGGCATTATCAGGACCCATGAATATTACCCCATTGCATTATTATACATTATTTTCATCATTATATACTAGTTTAATGTAGTACTGACACTAAAACTCTGTAAACTTGAATTTTTTCTCACACAGAAATTTTCATTTTGGGTAAACTATACACAATACATATTGTCACTATCCACGATACATATTGTTGCATTTTTGTATTGCGGTATATTGTAATGCGGTATATTGTAACACAATATATTGTTACACCCCTAGTAATTGTACAATTAGTTTTTATTCTAACATGCAGTAACTGTGATTTATTTTTTTTTTGCTCATTAAAGGGGCCCTCTTATGCTTTTTCACTTTAGTTAGTGTGTAATGTTGCTGTTTGAGCATAAAAAAGATCGGCAAGGTTACAAAGCTCAAAGTTCATTCCAAAGGGAGATATTTTATTCAACAGAATGCACTTTCCAAGAACTACAACGAACGGCTCGTTTGGACTACAACGCGTTTTTTTCCAGGCTTTGTGAAGTCATAATGTTACTCATTTAAATAGTCCCCGCCCACGGAATACGCAAAAAAGCGGACGAGGCCTGGTTGAGCTGCTGCTATGTTAAAGAGACACTGTTTTTTCCACAACTCATTTGTTTGACCTTCCTAAGGCTGACGAACTTAGTGGTTAAAATTTATTTTAAACTGTTCTTGAACATTATAATCCCAATGATTACAGCTTCCAGAATGCAGGCTGCGCACAAAATCTTCTCCTGAAATGGAGCAGTTCCCACTTTGTCGGGACAATCTGTTGTTTGTGGATCACAACTTGTAAGTATGTCCTATTATTTGTAGTTGCGTTTTCTAATAACAGTTCCAATTATACGTTTTGTGTTGTTGCTACGCTCACCTGCCAACATTACTGTTGATATAATGTTTATAGCTTTTGTAAGCTCTCGCGTTTGTAAGTTCACCGCCCCTTAGTAAAATTAACCATGGTTTTGTGATCGATTACTGTTTGTATTACCATAGATTTCCGACAAATATCATGATTAAATAGTGTAACATCGTATCTAAAATGTATAAGAAAATTACCCCCCCAAAAAAACATACCATTCTGAAACGTCCTGTGAAATCCATGCTTGCAAAGTCCGTGCATGAAATCCGTTCTGGACGATCCTCGTTTGTTAACATTGTCAGGGTCTGAATCGGGCTCAAATTGGTTTGAAATTGCCGCCATCCTTAATATTTACACTAGAGCAGAACTCACATGGAGGGGCGGGACATTTCCCGAACACACGCTAAGCACTGCCAATCATAACACATTGGGCCAGCTAACCAATCACAGCAGCACATTTTGCATTTCAGAAGAAGGGGCTTCTTTGAAACCGGAACTAATTGACACTTTCGGGCCTGACTGGGGAGAGAGGTGCTGTAATAATAAAATATGTGAAAAATTATTTGTTTTTTTTAAAGGATATTCTAGTACACCCCAAAACCAAGACTTTGTAAAAGGGCATAATAGGACCCCTTTAATAATTGTACTATTAAGGATAGCAGTGCATAGCCTGTGGTTTTTAAACAAATGTTCAGCACAACACAGAATTCCCATTTATGCATTTGGCTGATGCTTTCAGTGACTTCAGCATATTATATAGGCCTACTGCTGAATTAATAATGGTAAAAAAAAGAAGAAATGCTTAAAACAAGATCAAGTTACTTGAAAAGCAAAATTTGATAATACCAATATAATAGTAATACTTGCTTTCAGAGAATTTAACTTGAATTAAGCATAATCAAAATATTTTTTAACAAGGTTTTTGACTTTCAGGGGAAAAAACAAGATATCGTGGTGTAGACTTGAAAATTAAGCTTTTCCCCGTTATGGTTGAATCACGGAAGCAACACCAGTTCTTTTGCCAAGAGTTCTCTTATTTCTTATTTTATTACATGTCAGCATAGCAGAGAAACGGGCATAGAAGAGGAAGGTTACAGGAGAGGTGGTCTTCATTTCAGATTTCTCTGTTCCCCTCTCTGTTGTCTCTCCCCATCTCTTTCCTCTCTCCCCCTCTCCTTCCTCTCCCTTCACTCATGCTGTATGTGTTTCTCTGGGGTGGTACCCTAAGGATTTGAGCTTATATACACCACTGAGGAACTTGCAAATTCCTTGTAAAGTAGAACAATATGTTGCTTATGTTTAAAATGGAACGTATGCCTCATGCTTACATGTGGCACAATCCACTTTCCATAGAAAGAAAACTGTCCTTTATTATATACATCCTTGGTACATATGCATCAGTGAAAAACATTCCTTTCCTTATAAAGAATACAGCACCTCAGTCGATGTATACATGATTGGAAAACCTTTGGATCAGTGGAACATGTTGCATTGCACACATACTCCTTTGCCAAATATAGCTCATACCATATCTCTGCTCAAAATACATGTACAACATACCCCGACTTCACAAAAAACATTATACAAAAAGAATAATAATACAGAAAATACATTTAACAATCAAATTTTAATCTTCACGTGGCAAATTAACAAATTAGTACAATTAGAACAATTTGGCCATTATTTAATTAATTATTAATATTTTTTTTGCATGTCATGTGAAATACCAAACGATTTTATTATAAGTTTGTACTCTTCGTTCTATGTCAAGAATACGTTGAAGCCATTATTTCTGTATCAAATACCATGACCATAAACAGTGAGTACCAATTTCAGTCTTACATTTGAGACAAAAGAAATTGTTAAAGATATGTCTACAATTAGGGGATATATGGAATCTGTCTTCAGTCGAACAGCTTTTGCCCGATTTACAGACTGATATTATTTTAGCATGTTCCCATATATCATCCCAAGTGTCATCATTAATTGGAATTGATAATTACTTTCCCCATATTTTCCAGGTATTCAGTATGTCTGTACAATTCATGCAGCATTAAAGAATTTGACCTCAATTAACATCAAATAATGGACAATTAGAACCATAGTTTTCCATCACATCTTAAATGCATGCTCTGTGTTAAAGTGTCTTGGGCTAGGTACATCTGTTCTGGCACTTTTAGTTCCTACCCCCCCCAAAAAAGTGGCCACATGCTGTATAAATGTTTAGTCTTCTTTATTCAGCACAACACCCCTTTTGATTCAATTGGTGTGTAATTAAGGGGTTCACCAAAGAGTAAACACCTCCACCCACAAGCCCTGAAATAAAGAATTATCAGACTGTATGAAATGCAAATAGGCTGCTAGAGCAATAAACAATGTGCCAAGGGTCAATCATTTTAATGAGCCTTTCTAATGAGTCTAGGGCTGCCTGCAACTGTGCCTTTTATTAGCAAACTCACTATTGAAGTTGTAGCCCAGTCAATGGTTAACATTGGAATAATTAACATAAACGTTCCTCTTGAGGTCAGATAATCGATGACTCTTTAAATATCTATTTATTGCTGAAAGCTTTGAAAAGAAGTCTGCTGTCTATGTTCACCGATTCCAATGTTTCCACAGGGAAATATTACATCGCCACAATGACAATGGTTACAGCTTCTACAGCCCTGACTATCTTCATTATGAACATTCACCACTGCGGACCAGAGGCCCAACCTGTTCCTACATGGGCACGTCGTTTTGTCCTGCGCTACCTGGCTCGGATTTGCTTCGTCTATGACATGGGTGAGGGCTGCCTGTCTGCTCACACAGACAAACCTGCGCAAAAGGGAAGCAGCTGCACTATAAACGGCCAGGCCAGGGGCGAGGACTTCGCTCTGAGGGTACGAAGCATTTCAGCCAGTGACGGTTGTTCACAAAAGATAAAAGATCAATTAAATGAGGATGTCAGTCCAACCTTATCACTAAGGCAAGGAAATGAGTGCCACACTGGCTGGACAGATGGTTCCTGTGTGGGCATTGACCATGGAGAGGTTGCGGGAGCTACAGGAGAGAGAGTGTTGGAGAGCGGAGCGACTGGAAAAGAATCGGCGAAGAAAAGGGAGATACTTGTTGAAGGTCAGTGTTTGTGTCATCAGCAAAGCCTCTTGAGGAATATCGAGTACATCGCTAACTTTTATCATGAGCAGAAGGCCACGCAGAGACGAAACGGGGAGTGGCGGAAAGTTGCCAAAGTCATGGATCGCTTCTTTATGTGGATATTTTTCATCATGGTCTTCCTGATGAGTTTGCTTATTATAGGGAAAGCTGTCTGAATGCTTGATATGAAAGACACCAGGGGCCTCATGCATACAGTAAATGTCGGCGCAGGTCTAACGAATGAAAAGGTTTGCAAATGCAAAAATTGAAATAAAAAGAGAAAATATCACCAACACAGATTGAACTCCCTTGTGAAAAAGAAGTGCGCTCAATTGTATTGAATGTACAGAATGTTCAGATCTTAAAGATATTATATTTAAATAATGTTTTTGCAAATAATATAAAATGAATGAAATAAAAGGCCTCTTAGTGTACTTGAAGGGAGTACAGAGTGCACTGTAATAATGTCCAATTAAAATGTTACATTGTAAATTGCAATTTTTAAGCACATTTTAAATAATCTAGTTTTTTTTTTTCGTCTTGGTTTAAAATACTACACTTATATCGATGTGTTGGCTTGACAAACTAAAGCACTTGTAAAGTACTTGATTATAATTTAACTGTAGTGTGTTATTCGATATTACATTTAAAGTTAATATATTTTAAATGTACTAAATTCCAACTTCATCATTACAAATGTGTAACTAAAAAAATGTTTTAAGTACATGAAATACAAGTTTCAATAGAAATTACATTAAAGTATGTTTTAGTTTACCCTAAATGCTTTTCAGTACATTCAGCAGTATACTTTAAACATATATCAAAATCGATATGCACCTAAAGGGATAGTTCACCCAAAAATGAAAATCCATTATTTCTGCCTGCAAACTTGCGACCTTATTTCAGTTTTTTTTAAAGTCTATTTTACATGTGTTAATGCCAACTGCATACATTTTGGCACAGGTGTGTATTTTATTGGAATTGTACCATTTCACCCCCATTTCCTTTATTTTGCACCTGGTACAGAAAAAAGTTCCACATGACCTTAAGGACAAAAATGGCTCCTTTGCAAATTTGAATCATAGTGCCACTTAACTATAAAATGATGCAATCTTTGTTAATAGACTTTCATTCTGTTGGCAAGGCTTAAAAAGTTATTTTTTAAAAAGATTTTTTACCAGATCAGATTTTCTCAAGTTTGGCCTGTAAAGCAAATACTCGGTTTATTCCTGTTTTCTCCTCATGGATATTATAGAGCCAATTGGATAAATTATGCAGCTATAATTGTGTGGGTATGGATGTCAGAGTGTGATTTGTATGTATGTAGTAAAAAAAATTGTGTGTGGTTGTAATATTTGAAAGAGAGAAGCTTTGCTGGCATCTAATAGGGAAAATTTGGTACTGCACCCACAAACAACATCTTACTGAACGCTCATTTTTTTAGATATCAACCTAACATTTGGAACACAACTTGTTTACATAAATGGCTTTGATTTTCTCTAGCAGTTTTAGAGTTCAACACGTTTCATAAAATATATATTTTATATAAAATGTTCATAAATAACTTTTTTTTGTTTCACTTTTTGAACTTTTTTTTTTTTTTACAACAATAATCTGCCACGGGTCTTCTTTAAAATGAGACCAAACTTAAGTTTGACACAGACATTTTTGTCCTCTATGGACCTATGTGTAACTTATTTTAATTAATTTTTCCAAACCTATATGAATTTCTTTTTTCTGCTGAACACAAAGGAAAATATTTTGAAGAATGTGGGTAACCAAACAGTTGATGGGCCCCATTGACTTCCATAGTATGGAAGTCAAAGGGGTCCATCAACCATTTGGATACCGTCATTTTTCTAAATATGTTCTTTTGTGTTCAGCAGAAGAAATAAATTCACACAGGTTTGGAACAACGTGAGGGTGAATAAATTACAGAATTTTCAATTTTGGGTGAACTATCCCTTTAAGTATATTCTTTTAAAGTATATTATATCCATAAAGTATGCTAAAGTTTACTTCCTTTTCACAAGGGCAATCTGGACATACTAAGTCTCATTTGTTCTCATGTCATTGTATATTGTTGATGAATCCAGATTATTCTAAATGAGGGAGTGTGTGCCCAAAGTAATTCTCAATTAGTATAATACATGCCCAACCTGTCTTCATCTCTGCCCTTTCTCAAAATCAGCTGAACACAATAAACACCTTTTATATAGGCCTGGACTACTTGTGATCGGCTACTATTCTGAATAAATAGGTAAGATGTATTGCAGGTTCATTTAGTAATTAGTAATTACTACTAACAACTAATGTATATACTCATTTTAGCTTAACATATTCCAGCTTCAAAAGGCCAACAGGAATTATTTCTGTCTTTTTTTATCCTAAAATATAAATTTGGTTAGTGAATCAGACCCATTGTGTGCCAAACTGAAGAAAAAAATTGTGCATTTGAAGTCACAGAGGTCTGTGATTTTGGTACAGGACATTAAGTCCATGTTCAGTTAGGTCACAAAAATAAGAATCCTTGTATTTATGTGTTAATTTACTTTATTTATTGTATTGATATTAGGTAAATGAATACATGTTTTTAATTATCAACATTAAACTAATGTACCACATTATGTTTACTGACTTTAGAGAAAATAGAGCTTTGAAGCCAAAAGCCAAGCAAACAGCCAACCAAGTTTTTTTATTAGATGGATGCACTCTAGTCTTTACTGCTCTTTACTTTACAGCTAAAGTCTTCACTCTAAATAGTTTCGAGCAGGAATATCACAGCATTATGATTGCAATATTAAAAAGAGACACAAGAGGGAGATAATACATACAGTATATGGAAAGCTTATTGAAAGCTGTTGATTTATTTTTCCGTAAACAACATGGGGAAATGGAGATGCGAGCAGCATGACAAATGGAGCCAAATCCAGAGTAACACTGACTGTTTCATATATAGGACTATTACATAACGTTGGCTGTTACTGCATGTGAGCCATAGTACTGCCTGATTTGTGTGTGTGTGTATATATATATAAATAAACACACACACACACACACACACACACACATTTAAAATACTATATGCACTACTGTATGCACAATATCATTAAATGTTTAGATACAGTATTTAATTGTTTAGCTATGCTTAGCCAATGTCTTTGTGAAACAGAGGATGTTTATTGGGATATTTGAATAAATCAGAAAGCTAAAACTTTTTGTGATGTCTTATGAATGTGTAGTGGGCAAATTTCAACCCTCACACAGAGTGTAGATCCATCAAAAATCCTCATTAAATGATTTAATCTCATACTTCCACAGAAAAGGACTGAAATAAATGCTCATCACCTTCAATAATTAGTTACTGGTGAGATTTATGCAATTAACCCTTTCAGCCTATTTTAAATCCCATTTAAGGAGGCGATGTAGTTACTGAACTTCTAATAAGTTTGCAGTCAGAAATAATGGATTTGATATAAATCATCAAATCACAGCATTAAACATTCATTATTCCTTGCACCCCACCATCTAACCTTTTGCTCTGTGTGCTTTCCCAGCAATGGTAAGGTTAATTAGCTCTAGGCTTCAACAGACCTCAGGAGGGATGGTAGAGATATAAAAACTACATTCATCACACAAATTGAGGCTTATTGAACTTCTTCTTTGATTATAGAGCCTCCCTGAAACTTTCCAAATATCCATTAAGAATTTAAATTAACCCTATAATTCCTTTCAAACTGTTTTTACACTGCCATTCAAGTTTGGGGTCAGTAAGATTTTTTTTTTATTATTTGGAAGGAAATTAATAATTTTCTTCAGCAAGGATCCATGTTTCCCCCCAAATTAAACTCTATTCATCAAAGCATCCTGAAAAAAAGGATCATGGTTTCCACATAAGGCATAACTGTTCCCTTCAAGGGAACTTGTGAGCTGCGTCGGAAGTTACAACGGTATGGGAAGTGGGAACGCCTCTGCACAGTTTTAATTTTGACAGCAAATTTTTATTTAGTTTCAGTCATGGTCTTTTGACTAAAATGCCATTTAGTTTTAGTCATAGTTTAGTCATCTGAATTGTTTTAGTTTTAGTCTAGTTTTAGTCGACTAAAATGTAATGGGATTAGTTGAATTGTATTGAATCAATTAAGCATTTCTCAAAAATTTCCAAACGCATTATATACTCTTGGAGAAAACATTTATCAACCTGTTAATATGAATGATATTAAGGTTTGAACATGCAATACAGACACCGATTTAACTGCTGTGACATATATCATGTCTTTATTTATCTTAAAATGAAATAAAACCATTTCTCATAAAGAAACAAGAACATGGTCTTTTTAATTGATATATACATTTTTTTCAGAACACCTTGCATACAGCATTTTTCATTCTTTCAAGCAGACATATTTATTTGTATAAATTAAATATAGATGAATCTTTATTGAAGTTATTAAAGGGATAGTTCACCCAAAAATGATCCCATGAATTACTCACCCTCAAGCCATCCTAGGTGTATATGTCTATCTTCTTTCAGAATAACAGTTATATTAAAAAAATATCATTGCTCTTTCAAGATTTATAATGGTAGTGAATGGCGGTCCTAAATTTTGAAGTCCAAAAAAAGTGCATCCATCCATCATAAAAGTTTTGTTGGAAAAATGTATGGAACGTATGGAATACTTTTATGATGGATGGATGCACTTTTGACTTGAGCTCGGCGACTTCTAAGGGCCCCCCCCCTGCCTCGGGCCCTGGGTACTCGGTACCCCTTTTCCCCCCGCTACCACGCCCCTGGTCTATGGTGATCAGTGTTGGGCAAGTTACTTTTAAAAAGTAATTAGTTACAGTTACTAGTTACTTCTTCCAAAAAGTAACTAAATTAGTTACTCAGTTACAAATTTTAAAAGTAACTAGTTACTTAAGAAAGTAACTATTGCGTTACTTTCAAGTAAAATTAAATTTTAAATGCTCAAATGTGACCCCACCTCTACCCCTCTTTAACGGAACTTAAAATACATGTGCATGTTCAATTATTTATGATAAATCTGAATATTATAATGAAATTGACACTTAATACAATAGGTCTACATTATTAACAGAAACATTGTACACACATCTAAAAAAAAAAGTGTTGTTGTGGGACAAAGTGAGACTAGCCTCCAATCAAATGCCATGTATGTAGATATTATGTTTATATAGTGGATCAATGCAAATAACACAATAGATGTTTTGGAACTTTTGATATTTATTGCCCCTCAACAGGCCACAACTGGGCAAAATTAAATTAAGCTTGTTAAGCAATATACCAAAAAGACTGACTGTCTTGTGTTGTTCCTTGTGTGTCCTGTCCTGTCCGACTATGCGT